CATGCATTATACTGAATTATATCAACTGGTCATATTAATGTACACTGCGGGAAAAAAAGGGGGGCATTGTTCTATATTTCCCGTTCTACTGGGCCGATTGACGAAATTCAACTTGCGTTTTTCATGTCTCGAAAGCACGACTTAGGATATGTATTAGATTCATATATAGCATGGTTCTAATATAAGTATTTTCACACAAAATCGAACTTATTCTGAAATGACATGCCAATTTTTTTTCCATATTTCGATTCTACAGCTCAAATTATGCCAAACTGCTAAGTTTAGTAAAAAATCGCACTAGTAGTTTTTAAAAAATTAGCTCTCAAAATTTTAGCTCCGCAATGTTATTTCAGTTTCATATATATTTATTAATCTCTCTCTTTTTTTTTTTTTTTTTTTTTTTTTTTTTTTTTTTTTTTTTTTTTTTTTGTTAACTTATTTTGCTCTTTCCTTTCACATTTCGAAATTCAGGTTCATTCCAAATAAAATTCGCCCCATTTTTTATGATTTATTTTTAAAATTTGTATTTTTAAATAATTTTTATAAATTTTTCGAATAGACTTTTGAATTATAATCTATAAAATTTTTATCATTATTTTAAGGTAGACGTATTTATAAGCATATCTGCAAAAACATTACAGTTTTTATTCAAAATTTCCGAAGATATACGTGAATTTATATATTTTAGCGTTTCGAAATTTGGCATATTTGTTGAAAGCAATGAAACATTAAATGTGGTTTAGACATTTTGGTAAAATTATTTGAAAGTAGGAACGATGTGACATTCTTCCGCTCATGCACAAAGTAAAAAGGTAGGAACGATGCGCCTTTTTTTCCGCTTCGGCATAATTAGAAGGGAAAGAAAAATAGGTTGCCATATAATTATGAAGGTGTCCGCCGATAACATCGCGGCAAAAACATCGCGGACGAAAACGTCGCGGAGAAAACAACGCAAGGTAAAAACGTCGTGCTACAAAACATCGTGGGAGAAAACATCGCAAAGAGAAAACATCGCAGTTCTTAAAACATCGTGGTACAAAACAAAACATCGTCGTCGAAAATAAAGCGGTTCAAAAACTTCGCAGTTTAAAAAAAATATCGCCGTCGAAAATATCGTGGTAAAAAATAAAGTATCTACAAATCATCGCAATGACGATAACATCGCAGACATGCTTTTTTCAGGCTTTAATAACTGTAAATGGATATTCCCATAATGATTTGTGAGCGCAAGATGATGTAAGAAGGATAATTTTTACTTTCACATTTTTTTATTAACTAATAAATTTTAAATTTTGCTGAAAAAATAAGAAGGAAACTTAAGCATAGAAAATTAAATGCAACTTATAGATTATACTTTTAAATGAAAATTACCTGTAAAACTTTATAAAAAAATGATTTTAATAATGGCCTTTTTTTAGTTAACTATGTTTTTAAAATTCTATTAAGTGCTATAAGTTGCATTAATTTTCTATGCTTAAGTTTCCTTTTCTCAGCAAAAATTTATTAGTTATATAAAAAAATGAAAGTAAAAATTATCCTTCTTACATCATCTTGCGCTCACAAATCATTATGGGAATATCCATTTACAGTTATTAAAAGCCTGAAAAAAGCATGTCTGCGATGTTATCGTCATTGCGATGATTTGTAGATATTTTTTATTTTTTACCACGATATTTTCGACGACGATATTTTTAAACTGCGAAGTTTTTTGAACCGCTTTATTTTCGACGACGATGTTTTGTACCACGATGTTTTAGAACTGCGATTTTTCTTCTTTGCGTTTTTCTCCCACGATGTTTTGTAGCACGACGTTTTTGCCTTGCGTTGTTTTCTCCGCGACGTTTTTTCCGCTTTTTTTTGCCGCGATGTTTTTCGGCTGTACCATTATGAATGGGTTAAGTGAATTATTCTTGGCGAACTAAAAAAAATTAAAAGCAATTTTGAATTTCTCCCTAAATTTTGCACCAAATTTTACAAAATTTGAATCGTAGAATCGAAATATGGGAAAAAATTGTTATGTTATTTCAGAAAAAGTCCGATTTTGTGGCAAAATACCTATGTTAGAACAATGATATATATAAATCTAATATATATCGTAAGTCGTTCTTTCGAGACATGAAAAACGCAGTTTGAGTTTTGTCAATCAGCCGAGTAGAACGAGAGGTATAGAACAGCCTCCTTTTATTTATTTATTTATTTATTTTGCACTGTGTAGTGCTTTTCACACTGATAATTGAAAATCATTAGTCTGGCATCATTACCTTTTCGCAGAATATGTAACACCTAAAATTTCCAAATTCCATATATTTTCATCTTTTTTGATGGAGGTAAAAAATATCGTAATCATAGCGACATATGTTTCATTTTCATTCATCATCAATATTCTAGCCTTAGCAATCCAATTGAAGCAAATTTTATTAACCTTTAGTTTTCTTTCAGTATTCTTCATTCCCCATTCTTCTTTTAAGTAATTTTTCTCCAGTAACTAAGTTTCTGAAATTGACGTCCAGCCGGTATAGTGGTTAGTGACTCTGACTACCGTAGAGATGGTTCCAGATTCGACTCTCGGAGAAGGCATGGTTGTAACTGTCCGTCTCTTCATAGAAGGCAACGTTGGCCACTTATTAGGTGTTCCTACAGTGAAATGTCCATCATTTCCGGTCCTTGTCGAGGGCAAGGCTAATAGCTATTAAATATAGCGCCTAACCATTTAAAAAGTTCTGGAATTATTTGATCCTTTAATTATTTCAATAGCTGAGGGATCTTTGCTTATATCATTTAAGTACATACCTTTAGAATACATGAGTACATGAGTTTCTAAAGACAAGAGTTTAGAAGTTTTTGTCTTGTCTAAAACAGTTTGAAGGCTGAACTCGTCTCTTAATTTTTTCTGGTTGTATTTTACGTCATCCATTTCGTTGTAATTGGAACGATATCAGAGGATCAATAAGATCATAGGTCTGATATATAGGGGGCCTTCCTGAAATATAGAGGACCTCCCTGAAATGTAAAGGGCTTCCCTGAAATATAGAGGGTTTGTTGTTAGACACAGTGCAGATCGCTAAAACCCTTGACACTGACCGTGAAGTGATTCTTGCAATGTCAAGTAGAGCCGTAACCGAACCAATTGCTTATGTAATGTCAGAATCTGAAGTTTCAGTCCTCGTAATAGCTCGAACACGGCAACCTGTGAAGGACTGCCACGCATAAATTTCTTATCTTTGTGTGGTCCTCCGCACTTTTATTTACAATTTGGTTCTGTATACATCAGTACACTTTTCAACAAAATGCTTTTTGTTTTACTATACCAAAAAAGTGTAGGATTTGCAATTTTGTCCTTTTTTATGCGGAATATTTTACATTATAATTTGTATCTGAACTCATAAGTGGTTTTTACTATCAAACAAAGTAAATATGCCTTAACAGTTAGTTGATCGATGACCTATTTTCAAGTAAATGAAACAAGCTTTGTTTTTCTTGATTATGTGTCCTGTTTATCTTCAAATTTTTCAATATTTTTTACTTTGTAACTATCCTTACAGTCACGCGACTTTCTGCAAAACACGCAATTAACCTTGGAAGCAGGTTCAGTGTTTGATAATAAATCATTTCTTTTCGAGTAGAAAATTCAGATCTTCTTTCCTTTGTTTTTGAAGACAGATTTCATTTTCCTTAAATTTTGCCTATACTAAAGATACATGCTCATATGTTTTTCCCTTTTGACTTCATCCTAAGAAAAAATAACAGCTGAATTTATTTATGGCTACAAGATATTTTCTTATTAGCGAAGGATTTCGTGTCAGCATTAAATTTCTAATCTAGTAAACAAGATTCGACAATAGGAAATAACATTGGCTGCATATTTCTCCTATGTCATATCTATCACTTTACCCCCTTTTTCCCTTTTTATATCACAGTAGTGGCTCGAATTAAAATCTAAAGCAAGGTTTTTATTATCCAAATCTTGTTTCTGAGTTTTCAGTAACCTAAGAGTACTTTTTAACTTCGGATTAAAATTGTCTATAATTCTTCCACTTTACTTTTATCGGCAATCACATAATACATGAATACTGACTCAATGCTGTTGTTGTTGACTGGTGCTCACTTGTCTGACCTACAATAAGCCCAAGCTGACGAGGAGCGCAAGATTACACCTGACGTTGGCAACAGCCTTGAGATAATGAGGCAACGGCCTTGAGCAGATGACAGTGCGACTTAGCGCAGTCCGCCCCCAATTTTGAGATGAATTGAAAATGAAAATGTGAGTCAATCCATTGGAAGGCTTCTTTTATAGAATCAGTTTCTGCCTGGTATACAGAATTAATAGCTTTTATATTCACTTTTTTAGAATTAATCTCTACACCATAAGTACGCTGTTCTCCTTCCTTTCTGCATGCCTTCGTGGTGTAACAGTTAGCACACTTGGCGCGTATTCGAGAGTTCGAGACCTGGCGAGGGCATGTCTCCTACACACACACAAATAAAAAAACCTAATGACACTACAATTGATCTAATTTCAATACACTGGCAATGATAAATTTCAGAATATTGTGAAAATTACTCGTATGTAACATACATAACATTGAGACAAAAAAGTTGAAAATGCTGTTGACAAATGACGCTTATCGCTTTGCTCGATGTGGGATTAGCAGATATTTGAGAAAAAGCGCAATATTAGCAGAATATATCAAAGCGAATGGCAATAAAAATGCAGTATGCCTAATGTTATTACGCTTGTATATCTATCTCCAGACAAAGCTTAGCGAGTTTGACACATGTCAAGACATTTTGATATGTCAAAACAATCTTAACGGTGAAGATAGCTATGATGTTTACGATTAGCTAGGGTAGCGACAGTTAAGAGGAAGAAAATTGTTACTTTACTGACCTGCTATCAGTTGTTTCTGCCGGCGATCTTTTTTCCTGATTTCAGAACCTCGTGTCTCGAGACGCGAAGAAAGACACTCTCCTTTTCTCTTGGTGAGTGTGTTTCGCTGATTTTGATAAGCCATATCACTTTCTTCTCACTCGTGTATGAAAAGAAAAAGAAGCGGTACATTAACTTCTTTTTCTTTTCATGTTAGCGATTGTTTATTTGATAAAGAGAATTCAATTATTAGTTCCTTGCGTTCTAGTGGAAATGGAGCTCCAATTTAGTTTGAAGTGATAGCTTTGCGTGTAAAATACGTCAGTTGGTCTGCAATTTGAACTCTGTTCAGCACAATTTAATAGCAGGTGAGTTTATATTCTAATATAATTTTTAGTTTTATGTTTATTAGTAGCTTAGTAATAATGTTTATAGCTGTTAGTAGAATTATGTTTTCAAACACAATTTTTAATATTTTAGATAATGTGATTGTAAATTCCTTTTTTGTGTATAACTGAATCAAAATTTTGTAAATTAGTTTCATTTTAAATATTTGTTTTGCTTTTTAATTTTTTATTTTTAGCCCAAAGAGGTGGAAGTCCAGAAGGGCTACTCTTAAAACGGCATTTTGTGGCTTTTCACTATAAACGGCGAATCACTTTTTAAATTGTTGCTACCGATATCGCCGTGTATTATATTTACAGAAATTAAATAATGAAGAATCTGCATAAATTTATATACCCGTCTCGCATTGCATAAACGCAGCGGTACCCACAGCCATCAAAATTTGAATAACGAAATCTTCCATCCGAACATGGGCACATGGGAGATGGAATTTTAAATTTAGAATTTGTTTTATTATCTGTTTCATATTTTGTAAACCTTTTTTTCTAAATTTTTGATTAATAAACTCAACGATAAACTCAACGATCGGAAATTATAAGGATAAGCTGTTTTTAAATACTTTCGGATATTGCTGTTGAATTGAATTTTATGTGGTTTAAGGGCGAAAAGCATGACATTTAATAAATAAAGGTAACACGCAAAACGTTAAAGAAAAAGACCTTTTTTTGGCGCAACATAAAATCAGAAAACTTTTTTTTTAGTCCAAAGGGATTTGAATCCCGAAAGACTATTAGTTTCGTTTTGGCATTTTGCGTCGGACTCATAAATGTCGGTTCACTTTTCAAACTGTTGCCACAAAATGTTAGAGTCCTGCATTATATTTGAAGAAATTAAATAATGAAAAATCTGCATAAATGTATGTATATTTCTCGTATTGTGATAAACAACGGTACATAGAGTCATCGAATTTTGAATAACGTAATCCTCCAACGAATATGAGCATGTGGAAGACAAAATTTGAAATTTGAAATTTGTTTTATGATCGATTTCCTATTTTTTAAAACTTTGACGAATTTTTGATTAACAAACTTAAGGATTTAAAAGCGAGCAATGGCAACGTTGTGCAGAAAAAACATTTTTATCTCCAGCGCGTGAGTCTCTGTATCGGAAATTCTAAAGATATGCTCGTTTTAAAACTATTTTGCGATATTGCTGTTGCACTGGATCTTATGGTTTAAGTGCGAGGAACATGATATTTAATAAAGAAAGGTAACACACAAAATGTTAAAAAACGCCCCTTTGGACGTAATTTAAAATCTGAAACATTTCAGTTTTTTTTTTATTTATTTTATTATTATTATTATTATTATTAAGCACAATAGCTCTGTTTTATATTTTTATTCGCTTTGAAACTTAGTATAAAACTGTTTCTAAAAATTTATATATGTGTCCTATCTTTAAGCAGTCTACATTAGACTCGTATGGAAAATATTTACCGGATTTGTTCCACTGGAAATAACATGTTTATTCCCCATACAAATATAAAACATATTTAGAATTTGTAAAAAATTCTTTAAAAATATGAACTAACTAAACATTGACACATATTGATAAATATGTTTGATACGGGGTTTATAAATCTGCCGTCTTTCTGTGCTTGTAATCTTCCACTGCATGTCATATTTAGAATTTTATCTTAACATTATTAGTAGTAATATGCTGAGGAGGTTTATTTCATTTATTGTTTCCACGTTTTTATATTTCGAAGAGAAAAGTGGCAACAATTTCGAAGCAAGAAATAGCAAAACTGTACGGGGGAAAAAACACTTTTATCTTCAGGCCGCGAGACTGTGTACGGGAAATTCTAAAGATATGCCCGTTGTTTTTTAATATTTGTGATATTACTGTTGAATTGAATTTTATGCTTTAAGTGCGAAGAATATGATACTTAATTAATAAAGGTAGCACACAAAACGTTGAAAACACGTCCCTTTAGGGGTAATATGAAATCCAAAATCTTTCAGATTTTATTTTTTTTAATATTATTTTTACTTCAATGGAAAACCCTTCCTTGAGGTACTAAAATGTACTCAGGAAGTACTCAGGCTGATTTATTCTAATAAATTGCATTTTCTGTTTAATCATATCTTTTAATAATTAAGGATGGTTTGAGAATTGTAGCTACTACTGAACTACAATAATTACAATTTCTAACTGCATTCTATTATTGTTAAGCTCCAATTGTATTTTAGATTTTACCTATTATAATTAAACAAGGACTGTTTCTTATCTTTCATTTTTAAACAATAATTATTATTTAGAATTATATACATTACCTAGAAACAGTGCTAATTTATAACTACACCTTGATGAAATAATACTATAAGCAATAATAACATTTTAGATTTTGCCAATTGTTATTAAACAATGGTTATTACTTACATCTCTTATTATTAAATAATGATTGTTACTTATATCTCTTATTATTAAACAATGATTATTACTTATTATTAAACAATGATTGTTATTTACATATCTTATTATTAAACACAAATTGTTACTTATGTCTCTTATTATTAAACAATGATTATTTCTTAGAATTATATATGTTACTGGCAATGTAGGAAACTCCGGCATTCTATAGGCGTTTTTATTCAAACTATTAAATTAAACTGTTTTTATTCAAACTATTGAATTATGAGAATTATTATATACTTTATCTAGACACTGTATATAAAACCTAGTCATTTTATAAAATAACAAGTGCTTTTCAGGCAAAGTACGAAAATGGTTATGATAAGGCTATTATTTAAAAGATGTTCCTCCCTCAAAAATAAATATGTTATTCTGAAAAAACAATAGAAGGCTGCCATTAAAAACTTTTTTCAAAATTGATAAAAAACATAGTGAGATGCTCTTGGTACACACATAGTAAATTTGTATTCTGTATCTGACTGAGACTGGAAACCATTAAGATTTACTTGAGGACGGAAATAAAATACAGAAAAAATTCATAGGTGTAACCAGCAGTGCCCTTTTTGACTCTGTTTTACTTTTTTCAGCAGAGAACACGAAAGTGGATGTACGGTTTAATATTATTCCGTTTAACGTTTTTATACTTGGTTGAAAGATTTTTGAAGATTCTTTTACGTCCTCCGTGTCCAATAGCCAAATAAGTTTTGTGAAATAACTCCGTGATGGTGGCGTTAGTACTGTAAGAATTCGTCAGTACTGTGGTATAGTATTGACGCCTTCTTTAACAGGGATAAATGAGTCTTTTCTTTGCACAAACATCACATAATAGCGATTCAGCAACCAATAGTCTTGTGGTTCCTTCTTAATAGTCATTTTGGCTTTTTTCCTCTTCGTTTATTAACTTCTGGTAAGTAGTTTCGGTTATTCAAAACGAATCGGGGATTTATTTCATACTTTGCTGGTTAGGCATTGCGCATTCTACAGAATGCTTAGGCAAAGTGTGAAATGTTTAATCGTTTTATACATTGCCGGCCAGTTTTCGGCATTCTTTAAAATGCCTATATTCTATAGAATGCCGGATTTCATAATTTTCCGATAACATATTCATTATTGCGAAACAATGATAGTTTATAACTGCGTCTTTAATCGCTAATTAAATACTGTTATTTTCAAATAATGTTTATTCTTTTAAATAATATTTTTATATAAGTATATCTTTTATTAAATAATCGTTAGACAATTTTACTTCTCTCAACTTAGAACAATGGCTAATACTTTATATTATAACTAAGCAATGATTATTACTTTTAACATAGTAGTAACAGTATTTTAACAATGATTATTAGTCTTATATCCTTAAATTAGGTTTATTACTTCTAAATAAAATTCTAACTTAGAATTTTATCATAACGTTTTTGTTAAATAATAATTGCTGAATATTTATCATTGTCATTAAACATTCATTGTTACCCAAAATTGGTTTTTCTGTCATTAAAGAATGATTTTTACTTTACATGTGATTATTAAACACTGATTGTTTCTTTGTGTTATATTTATAGTTATTAAAATTACTTCTCTTTTGCTTATTTATTAGTGCCTTTTAGCTTTATTCAATGTATAGATCCAGAGTTGTCTTAAAAGTAACTGTTTCTGTTTAACAGGTAAACACAAACACGGAAACATTCTTTGAAATATTTTATGTGACAGACATTTCATTAAATTTAAATACCTACTCTGTAATTATTACTACAGTAGCGGGCTGCAACCAAAGCAAAATATATAAGCTCTATGTACACCCGAAAAGCAAATATATATAAAAGCATTTTAATATGAATGAAATCAGTTCATTTTTTCCAAGCAACAACCAACTCATAAATAATTTTTTGTTGCTAAACGAGGAAAAAAAAACTTTTGACAGTTCAGGTTAACAAGTATGATGTCATGATTTAAATTTAATGTAATATAACAACGTCTCAATCTCAATAAAAGAATTAATATGGCAATTAACATACCGTGTCAATTATCGTAAAATCTGAAACAAAACAGTTGCCAACAGCAGTTATTTGTTTTAAATGCTGACATTAACAGAAAATTTTCCACATGTAATGATGTCACATGCAATTTCGTGCTTTCTTCAACGTCAGACTATGACTTTATATAATAATAATATACTTAATGTTTTGCAATGCTATTTTTAGTCCGAAGGGGCTTTGTTCCTGAAGAACTATTGTTTTCGTTTTGCGATTTAAAGTTGGTTACTATAACTGTCAGTTTCACTTTTCAAACTGTTGCCACCAAATGTTAGAGTCCTGCATTATATTTGAAGAAATTAAATAATGAAAAATCTGCATAAATGTATGTCTATTTCTCGCATTGTGATAGAACAACGGTACAATAAGCCATCGAATTTTGAATGACGTTATCCTACTGCGAATATGGGCATGTGGAAGCCTAAATTTGAAATTTGGAATGTTTTATTATCGATTTCATATTTTATAAATCTTTAACGAATTTTTGATTAACAAACTCAGCGATTTCAAAGCGAACA